GAAACCTTCTGCCCATTCGTTTGGCATTTGACGTAGGTTCGCCAAATCGGTCAAAGTAACTTCAGACTCAGTCTTATAAAACTAAGCGTGGAATAATTGTTCCAATTGTTGCCATGTTTGAACATAATTCGCTGGCAAATTAATGAATCAGGAGAAAGCTACTCCTGTTAATGAACTAGGGAAAAGCCTCATTTTATGATAATTAGTCACGTCACCACTTTGCAGTGTGAATCGTCCTATGTCTTCTAGAGTAGACACCTCCTCTAAACCGGTAAACAGTGAGAATTCTGGCACTTTATACCCTCTAGGCCATGGATATGCTTGGTCTATCCAATTAGGATATGGCTTTGTGTAGGTCGGCCTAATGACAGGACGTACCCCAAAAGCCATCTGGTCCTGTACGATTTCCATAATCTGATTTCTTAACATGACGTTGGGGTCATATGGAATCCCTACAGATTGGTTGACCGGTTGATTTACTTGAGGCATGATATTTGTTCCTTGATTAGGAATAAAATTACCATGATTTGGGTCGTTGTTACCATTAGCCTGAACATTCATTCCCTCATTAACACGTGGGGTATTCTGCCCGTTATTTAGGACATTATCTCTTACATTTGAATTACTCTCCAAGTTAGGCGTACCACTACTATTATTATGATTTGGCATTACACCATCCCCTTGGTTTGAAGGAGAGGGACCGAAATGTGGTTCTACCCCTTGACTTGGATTTAGGACTGGGGGATTATGTCCCACAATTGTCTTAGTTTGAAAATGGTTTGCAAGAGGCATAACTGGTTGACAAATTTGGTATACTAACTTATTCATTATTTCATTCAAAGTATTCAGTTATTTGGCCATATTGTCATAGTGTGCATTCCCATTCTGGGTAAATCTTTCCATATTATGAATATTTCGAAAATTTACCTATTTAATGACATCTTGTGTGAGTTCTCCAAGTAGTGTACGCATAGTTCGAGGACTCAACTCTGACATTGATTCGTAACGACTGTTACCGCTTTGATTTTGTCCATCTGTTCGTGGAGAGCTATGCCGCTCCTCATATCACTCGATTACAGACTGGACTCCTCCCTGACTTGCTGCTTCCTTATCAGATCTTTGAGGCATATTGTTTCATCTTTTGTATCTTCAACACCAAACACCACTGTCCCACTGGGCATGCCAAATTGTTTCGCGCGAGTTAGTTGCTAACAATTAAAAAGGGATCAGACGATTGTGTAAGGGACAAATCTCTTGAAACAAAGTCCCAAAAATGGGTGTTTTTATTGGCGATGACTTTACAATTGGAAAATAAAAACAGAATGCTTCCAAGGGGCGCAAGCACACGAGTTACTGAAAAAGCAGTGTTTAAATCTAAATTAAGAAATTTAAAGTTACATATTCTCTGTTTGAGAATGTTTGATTCGGGAGTCTTTTATGTCTTTTTTTCCTTTTATACTCCCTGGATGATCTCTTCGTGATCAATCGCTTAAAAACTGCTTGATCGCTCTATAACTACCCACTTTCCTTGTAATGGCCAACTTGCCATGAAACTGCATTATCTAACTGTTGCCATTACTTTTGTCGTTCAACCGTCTTCAGTTGAATTTCTTGAATCGTGGAACGTGATAGGACTACCCAATAACTGCTTTATTAATTGCACTTTTGGGTAACCATAACATCTTATGTTTGTTAAGATGTTGGGCGACTCGAATGTTTGGACGAGAGCAGGGTCACAGCTCTGGGCGACTGCATGTCAATTCATTCGCTTAAATCTTGGGCGACTTGCAACCTTGGGCGATGGTATTACCGCATTCATGGGCTTCCCTAGTTGGGCCTTTATCCTGCATTGCCTGATTGGATTGTTCTTTTGGGCTATTTGATTTTGGGGATCTTCCAATTGGACTTCATTCCTTGGGCTATTCGACTTGGGCTGAACTTTTTGTGTGTCAACACATACTAATGCCCCGACTCAATTTGTTGACACCCTATTCTTATCCAAACATGGTCTAAAGGAAGTTTAATTGTCCTCAAAGTTGAATATTCAGAAATCCACTTAAAAGTAAATTTAAAGGAAAGCCAAAACATGCTTTCTGAAGTCGCCAAAAAATGGATACGTCCATGTGTCAAATAGAGCGCGCGCGTAGGTATCACTCATACCTCCTCGACTGCGCAAGCGTGTCCTCTAATTTTGCTTTTCCCTCTTCAGAGCTTCTTCTTCGAATTTCAAAACCCACTGGTGCCATCACCACAGTGACACTCCTTCTCTCTCTCTCTCTCTCTCTCTCTCTCTAGTCTAGATAAATAAATGACAATTACATTCCAACACAATTAACCCATCAACCAATCAGATTAAGGTATAAAGGATTACAGATAGATACAGCAGTAAATGGTATGGTCTAGGAAGAAGGAAGGTATAAGTGAAAGTGAAGTAGTAGCACTGGGGCTCCTGCAGAGAGTGACGATTGCAATAATGGGCTGTTTTTTTGGATGTTTACGTATCAAAGATTCCCAACCTCATCTTGTCTCACGCCCTACTACTGTAAGATTACGAACAATTAGAATTTGTTTTGTTTTTTATTTCATAATTTCAAGAATTCGTGGGTTTGTATTTTTGATTTTTCAATTAGGAGCCAGTGGTGACAACCCGCAACCGGAATGCTCTGTCATCTCTATTCCTTTCTGATGGTATTATTTATTTATTTTTTCTTTTATTTTATGACAGCATCAAAGGAAAGTTTTTGTATGAAATTATTGAAATGCTTTTGGTTTGGGGGTTTTGATTGATGAAATGTTAAAAATTTTAATGGATTAAATAGATGATTCACGTCAAGAGGCTGAGAAAATTCGGAAATTGGATAATTCTCAGCTTGAAGAACTTGATTTCAGAGAGCTCAAGGAGGAGGTCTGTTTCTAAATTGATGTTTAAAATGTATCATGATATTTCTTGATATATATTAAATTCAAATTTATGATTTGCATTCCTAACTTGAATTGCGTAGAAATAGAGATTTTTGTTTTTTACAATCAAATTGATTCTTGTTATAGTGTATGCGTAGACCTGAATTCAATTATATAAAGTCATCTGAAGGTAAACATGGTTATCTGATGCTTCATCTGCAATAAAGGTTGACTTGAAACTGACATAGAACGCCAAGATAAATTTGATTTACTGTGTTCTAGTGATTTTTGAGCTTTTTTTCTTAATCCTTGTTTTATGTAGCACATGATAAATCAGTAGTGAAGTCATTTATATAAAGTCAGCTATATATTAAAACATAAGGTCTAAATCAGGTAGCAAACTGCTTGCCTGTCACCTTTGTGCGTATTATCGTTATTTGTGTATTGGATGTTAGAATTGAGTCGAATAGCACTTGGTTTGTACATGACTGAATAAATAGTGAGCTCCTGAATCTATGGATTCATGAAAAATTTAACAAATCACGACGACCATATGATTAATTGGCGAGCTGAATAAAAAATGAGTCAAGCTAATGTGTCCTGGTTCCAGTGTCAAGAACAACATCTAATTACGGAACAAGCATGTTCTTTATAATGACAATGACAGTAAATTAGGTAGCATGTTGATTTTATTTTTTCTTAATTATCTATTTACCTTAATGTTACTTATGGTATTAGCGTATCTTTGTTACCTCTCAAAAGTGTTGAGAAATTACAGATACTTTATTGCTTTGCATGATTCTATTTATTTGTAGAAATGTCTTAATCTTATACATTAAAAAGATTATCAATGGAATCTGTGCACTTAAATACAGTACACCAACGAAAGCCAGTTCTTCTTTTTCAAAAAGGAATCAAAGATTATTCTTATTCTTTCATGACTGAACACTTCACACTGTTTGCATATAGATACATAGATACAAAAAAAACCAGTCTCACTGCTCCACCATAGAAATGTAAATAATACAGATGCTTATGTATGTATACGTGCATAAATATATGTCCATGCTTTATGCATTTAGAGACGCCTAAGTTGAGTAATAATATTCTGCAGGCTAAGTTCCTCAAAGCTTGTGGAACTCTGCCTGAGACTCCTGCTGAAATTCGAAAAGCCTCAGAGAAATGGAACGATGCATCAGCTAAAGATGCAGATGCAACACCTATGAAATTCAATTCTTGGCTCTCTAATGCATCCATTGAGAAACTCAACTTAGAGAATCAACCTAATGAACCTCCTACACCTGGCAAAATTTGTGAAGAACAGAGAATGGAATCAAGTTCATTGGTGGAAACTCCGAGCAGGTAAAGCTACCAATTTTTGTATATGACTATGAAACCATTCAGCAGCTAATATCTATTAGCATGTACTTGCAATGGAAACTCAAATCATTTCTTTTTCTGCTTTCCTCTTTTCATATTTGGCACTTTGAGTTGATAACTTGACATCCCCCCAATTCATACCCAAGAAAAGAAATAATCCTGAAGTGTTGCTGGAAAATTACATGGATTACTAAGCACTTGATTGCCTCTTGTTTATAATTTGTTTATAATGGTTAAACCGCTTTTTATCCATATTTCGTAGGACTCACAGGTAATACCCACTGAGCCACCATTAGTTTCTATTTGTTTATAATTTAAACCATTTATAATCACCTATGAAACAAGCTTTGATATTCTGTTTTCCAGCTGCATGACTGATGGAATGATAACGAGACAAGGTTATACCAATTCCACTTCAGGTGGTAGCATTCAGAATGTTATCACAACCCCAGACGTACATGCTAATGTCACTCATAGTTTCACATCTTCATCTGTTCTATCAATGGATATGGCACCAAGTGTACAATTCAAAAACAAATCTGTTCATTTTGAATGTGAGTCTGATATGCGTTCATTTCAATCCAAAGGCTCTTCATCTGACATTTCCATTCAAAACTTGAAGCAATCTGGATGTGCTGGTAATTATAATAAATCAACGCTGTTACCATTTCCAACCCCATTAAAACTAACTGATGAGATGCAAACACCGGGCACTGTTTTCCCTGGATATCTTGACAATATGGTGGATGGAAAAACTGCTAAAATCAGATCTCAGTACGTTTACTCTGTCTTGAAGCCAGTGGAGAATTCCACCCAGTGGAAGGTATTGAAGGATGAAAATTCTGATCCTCATCACCTAAGAGAATCTCTTCAGCATGTCGATGAAGGAACCCCAACATCAGAAATGGAGATGAAAGAACTTTCAGCAAGAAAAGATATGAAGGTTGAAGGAAGCTTGTCTTCTTGGTTGAAACCTCCTTCAGCAAATCAAGATGACAATAATCAACGGTCTGGTTCCATATCTGGTGATAATATTCATTGTGGGAGAACTCCAAGTGATAGGCCTATCCTTGGAATGGTTGCAGCTCACTGGAATGATGATGAAAATTCTCGTATTTCACCTAAATGGTGGGATGGAAATGGAATTCCAAATTCAACCAATAAGTATAAAGAGGTTTGTTTGCTTCTATATTAATCTTTTCTTCTTTTAGCCCATTTCTCTTGTTCGGTCCTATTATTTTTATCTAGCTAACATAACCAAAAACTGGTGAATTTTTTCTGTATCTTTTGCAGGATCAGAAAGTTAATTGGCATGCAACACCATTTGAGGAGAGGCTAGAGAAGGCACTGTGTGAAGAAACTTTTCTCTCTCAGACGTATGTCACGTTTCTCCCACAATGAATATTAGCACCAATGCTTTTGGGAACTTCTTAATGCTTTTCGTCCCAAGGGTAGTTCATCTTAGTGTTTTTTTTTTTTTTTTTTCCTCCCTCGGAATTGGCCGTAGCTAGATAATGGGTCACGAGGTTCTATGCATGACAATAATATAGATGGGACAATTACATCATTTGTTGCATCTAGTAAGATGGGAAGATTACCTCAGGAAAATACTACAGAGAAACTAATCCTATAGGAGCAAGTGATTGAGCTAACAGCTAATAATGCTTCCAAGGCCCTCGTGTCTTTTGTTCAAGATTTGGGTATCCAATTTATTTGTACATGTTTGTCTATTATATGCTGAAAGCTACACCATACAGTTGTTATTTTGCACGCTTTATCCCGTGCAAAGATATTGAATGTTAATTTTTATTTTTGTGATTCTCTCTCAGAAAAAAACGATTACATTGATTTTCCATTTCTGTTACATGTTTGGTTGCAGGAAGCAAATCAGTGGGACTCCTTCAATTGAATTTAATGAAACCGAAGAATCCGATACTGCTCTATCACAGTTGCAGCAGTCTTCAGCACATTTTAAATCTGTCGTTTCATTCTAATGAAGGCGTGAAGCATTGTAATATGTATTATGTGTTCTCAAACATTTACTGCATGTTGGAATTCTTATTTCTTGTGTCGTGAACTATTAGATAATTTGGTTACAGCAAATTTCTGTAAACTCGAGCTATAATGGTTGTTGCCCTGGTAGCTTCCTGCTGCATGGCGATGTTCATTTTGTGTTTGCAATGAACATGGAGAAATCTTTATACAGTGTTTGATTCTTCTAAATTTTTCTGTCAATACTATTTACTTATCCAGTACATAGTGTTACAAAATGCCTCGTGCAACTAATCTCGAGTGCTTAAATCGCATAGCTTTTGAATGATCTTGAATCCTTTTCCACTTCCCTTTCTTTAGTGTTTATCTTTTTTTTAACTTCATCTTTGACAAAATGACATTTTAACATTCAAATAGATGGAAGTACTACAAAACCGAAAGGTCAGGGGTCCAGCTGCCACAATTTTAAAGTTGTATACCTAATTACTCTATTTTACTAGGTTGGGACCCTAAATGTAATTTTGGACCAGTGCATGTGGTTTTGTTATGTGGAAGTTAGACCTTATATCTTATTTTCTTCTAAAAATTGAAAAAATGCCCTCAATTTAGTATACAAGTGTCGCATTATTTTAAAAAGTGCGCTTAGGTGTGAAGTGTGGGCAAAACACCTTGCATTGGGCCTAAGAGCGCTTTTCATTTTTTTAAATATAATATTTTATAATTTAGATATTCGATAGGTACTATTTTAATTATTAAATATGATTTAAAATGATATTAAAATAAGAAATGGTTTTTTATGCCTAGCCTTGCTTAACTCGAAACTTGACCTCCATGTTTTACGTATTTTAGAACACTGATTTTTTTATATATATCCATTTCCCATTTCCAACACTCATTGGCCCATTTGTAACCAAAACCTACCTCATCTCAAACCCTAACCCAATCCCAAATGCTTCCACCTTAACTCATAGCACCCAAAGCCTTACAACTCTCCATTGCCGCCACCTCCACCCACGACCATTAGAGGCGAATTTCGCCACAAGGCCCACAACCATGCCTTTGAACTGAAGCCTCCTACCACCTCCGTTAATGTCCACCCCAATCAACAGCCTATTCCCTCCATCAATAACCTGAAAAAACAACCTTAATTCATGACTACACAAATAGAAGCTATGTTTGGCAGCACAATCGTGAACTATTGAATTATATGGCTCATCTAAAAGTTAATTAAAATTTATATCAAAATCAACAATTAGTTTTAACAACATTTTTACGGAATCCTCAATTTTTCAACTACACATTTTATCAACTTTTAAAAAAAAACAAAAAATTTTAGATTTTATCCAAACTAAACGGGAGCATAATGTTATAGAAATCAATCTTGACATTAATTTAAAAATTATAAAAGGCCAATTATTAAAAGGACGAACTAGTGTCAAATCGTTGACAAGATAATTGTATAAATAATGAAATTCTTATATTATTGTCTATGCAAGATAATTGTATAAAGGGACATTTTTAAGAATGTCCAATTTTAAGGGTATGAATTGAAAAGTGTCAACTCATTTGAATTTAGTGTCAACTTGTCTATTAGGCCCTTAATGAAAAGTTACATTTTGAAATGGTATTCTCGACATATTAAATGTCATTCTCGACATTTGATTTTTTATCAATTTGTCACGAATTTTGAGAAGTGACTCCTATGAAAAGTTACATTAAAATAATGTTTCTTGACATTTCATATATTATTCTCGACATTCGAACACCGTTTCATTTGTCTAGAATGACATTTTATTTTGAACATGACATTTCTCTACATTTAAAAATGGAGTTCTCGACATTTCTGAATCAATGAAAAACATAGCATTTATTGTGATTTGACATGTATACTTTTTGAAATAAATATGGCAGGTTATGTGTCAAAATTTTATTGCCCAATAACAATATTGCAAAAATGTCCTTTTTTTGGTCTTAGTGTGGAATTATAAATTGTTAATAAGGGTATTTTGTTTTAAATTCTTCCAAATTAGACATTTTTGCAATGGTGTACAGTTTTGCAAATGATTAGGTAAAAATGGACATTTTGTGAAATTTCCTTTTGTATAAATAATCAGCCGAGCACCTTCAAACCCTGCTTCAGCATGTCCACCCAGGTGGCGACCAAGAACAAGGACGGTGGATGGGGCACTGATTCGAAGATTTGAGTACAATGTGAAGAACCTATGCCCGTATTTGGTATCGATGAAAAAGTTATGCCTTTGTTAGGCATCAATTAAAATTTTAATTTTAATAAAAGTTAAAGTCAATAATTAATTTTAACCATATATTTTATGAGTCATATAACTTTTCAATCATGTATTTCACCAACTTTTATCAAAATTTATTAAAAATTTGATTTCAATTTTTACCAAACAAAGACTATATGTTATCACTTCAAATCATGCTACACGTCCAGGCTTGAATTCAAACGTAACACATGTTAACGAATGATTAGACAATTTGAAAAATTAAAATTAAAACATCAAATTATTTTCTAATATGTCAGTTTATCTTTTTATTTCCTTTTTTTAACACTGGACAAATAGCTTTATTCTTATCCTTTCCTCTACCCCTGTCAGTCATGTCAATACTTTTTGTTAGTTGATTTCATTATCATAAGGCGGCTCTAAATGAGCATGACACGCTGTTTTTGGGTGAATAGACGGCAGAGATAAAGAAAAAGTGGTGTTATGGTACGTTAATAACTTATCTTATATTCACAGGTTCAACAATGGACCCCACATTTTGGCATTTGTTCCTGAGTTTTTGGCTTTTTACTTGCCATAACGCCAAACAAGGAAGTCCAAAGAATCTAGACATGTAAAGAACAAATACATGTTTGGCTATGCTTAAAAAGTTTACTTATCTATTAGTGGCCACTATTTTAAATAATTAAGTTACTTGTTTTGATGTAATGTAAGAGATGCTTTTGGAATATATAAATTTTTTACTTAAAAAAAAAAAGGAAGAAAGAGTAATCCAAGTATATCTCCAGCTAAAATTACTTAAATTTTTACTTATTTTAAGGAACTACCAAACATGATCTAATTTGTCGACGTGGGTTTCAGGTTTCTTAAACATCACATGGCTCCTCAATCACCTTTTGTACGCACGACAAAAATATTTACATCACTTCCACTTGTTGGGCTAAGATTTTGTGTCACTTGCTCTCCAATTCATATCCTTGTTCCATCAGCCTTCTTGATCTTTTATCGTTTCATTGCCCTTTCCAGCGAAGTCAAACCACAAAGATTCAACCAAAGTGAATAAGCTTTTTATCTTAGCTAAACGGTCAGCAACTTGCTTTTCTTTTTTGGCCCGTTTCTTGAACACTTTGATATGTTTGAAGGTCGTAGATGAAGTGTTTGTTAAAAGAACTCGAAGGGTGTTCTTATGCTATGTTACCCTGATTTTGTTTCTTGGACTTGGGTTGCATTTATGTGATTGCTAGCTTGAGTTTTAGTCATTCCTGCAAGTTAAGAAATTGAAGTTTCTCTGCGCAGATTGCCCACGGATTCAACCAAAGTGAAAAAGTTTCTTAAATCTTAACTAGAAGGTAAGCAATTTGCTGTTCTTTTTTTGGCCCGTTTCTTGAACAGTTTTATGTGTTTGAAGGTCGTAGATGAAATGTTTGTTAAAAGAAGTCGAAGGGTGTTCTTATGCTATGTTAACTCTGGTTTTTGTTTCTTGGACTTGGGTTGCATATATGTGATTGCTAGCTTGAGTTTTAGTCATTTCTGCAAGTTATGAAATTGAAGTTTCTCTGCGCAGATTGCCCGCCGATTCTGGTGGTGACCAGATGAGATTACGAACAAATTGGTGCTTTGACTTATGAGATGCATGTGTTGGTTTGAGGGGTTTTCTCTGATTTGAGAATTTGGGGGGTGGGGGGGATATTGTTTATGTTTGTTATAAGGAACTTGTTGTGATTTGATAAATTGGTTATGCTTGAAGAGTGGAAATGTATAGGAATTTCATTTTGCTTTAGTTAGAGTTGGAAACTACTCAGAAAATTGAATCTTCTTGAGTGTTTTCATTATCTTGAGAGCAAGGCTTGAATTTTGACTGCTGGAACTTATTTTCTTAGAAGTATTTGATGGTCCAGAAGGATCCAGAGTACCTAGTCTCCTCTTGATCCTGGCTTTATGTAGATTTTGGTTATTAAGTTCAGTTGCAATTTGATTTGCGCTTTTGTGTTCTGGATAAACAGGAGACAAATATTAGTTATGGAAAGTGGAAATGACTATTCTTTATCAACCGACTTTGTTGCTTCTGATCTTTCAATGGAGTCGAATAGCTTCAGCATACTTTCCCCCTCCAGCTATGAAGTAGGAACCAATCTTGAATTGTTGAGTTTGAATCGACTCAGTGACAGCCTTGAAAAGCTTTTGCTTGATCCTGAGTATGACCACAGTGATGCAGTGATAGAAGTCGAGGGAACTCCTGTGGGTGTCAATCGCTGTATTTTGGCTGCACGGAGTCCGTTTTTCCATGAGCTGTTTAAGAATGGGAATGGAAGTTCTGTTACGGAAAATAAGACGAAATATCTCATGTCAGAATTGGTGCCTCATTACACAATTGGGCGTGAAGCATTTAAGGTTCTCTTAACTTATTTATATACTGGAAAGCTTAAGTCATCTCCACCCGAAGTTTCAACATGTGTTGATGAATCTTGTAGTCATGATGCTTGTCGCCCTGCAATTAATTATGCTGTGGAACTGATGTATGGTTCTGCCACCTTTCAGATTAAAGAACTTGTTATGCTTGTTCAGGTTCGTCTCGTCTCTAACTGGTTAAGTTGTTCACATTGATGTTGAGAATTATAAACCACAGAGCCATAATTCAAAGAAATAAAAATAAATACTGTAAGATTTTATGGAAGAAAAATATATTTTCCTTATTCACATAGAAAGAAGACGATACATATATATATATATATATATATATATATATATACACACACACACAATATAAATAAGGAATCTCTATAATTACCCTATAATTAGGCCCATAACAAATACTTAAGAATAGAAAATATTTATAGAGGTTCGTCTCAATGTTAGACTATATTTCTCTCCAATTCACTATGATTAAAAAAGGTTTACAAGAGAAAATCACACTCCTGTCCTCTCTAGCCTCTCTCCTCTCTTTTATGATAATATAATAAAATTTAAGGACAGCTACCTATTTATAAATTAAATAATGGTAAAATCAAATTTTACAAGGACTACAATTTTTTTAATAGAATTTTACAAGAATACAAATTTCTAAACAGTCCTTAATGAAATTTTGGTCCGGGGGTTCCGCCATCTGCACCCCCGGGAAGGCCCTTCGATCCGCTACCAGCTCCGCAAGGAAAGTGGCAATAATTATGATCGACATTGATTAGGTTCCATAACTTAACAATTGAATGAGTATGCATACATATGGTGTTCACTTTTGGAGTTTCGAGAATCTTTTTCAAAAAGATAGGATTATTTCTTTTATTATTGGTTTAAGCTTCATCAAACATTGTTTTCTGAATGTCTTTGACTTCAAATTACTGTGTTATTCTGCTAAGAAATTAACTAAATCTCGAGGATGCATAAGGTCCCTACAGAACATAAATTTCTGCATAAATTCACAACAAGTATACAATTAGTCAAATGAATTTGCTTTATGCTCTTTGGAAAAATAACTGGAAAATTTATTCTGATCGTGTGGTTATTTGTCTCTAAACATGCTTATCTATCCACATGTTACCCACGTATTCCTTTCGTAGCAGGAAGTGTTAACATTATGTGGCTATTAATATGCCACTTCTATCATCTCTCTCTCTCTGTGCCGCCTATTAGTTTTGTGTAATGCATCTTGATTGGAACCAGCATATCATGCTGAATGATGGACTACTATTCTTTTCACTGTTAAAGATTGGGCGTACCCTGCATTTATTCCATAATAACATGCATTCTGATAAGTGATAACACATCCTTTGTTTGCATGCAGCGCCGTCTTCTTGACTTCGTTTATAAAGCTTTTGCTGAAGATATCATTCCAATCCTTGTTGTAGCCTTTCAATGCCAATTAGAGCAACTTCTGTCATACTGTGTCCAGAGATTAGTGCACTCAGATTTAGACAAAGTAGTTCTTGAGAAGGAGCTTGATCGTGAAGTTCAAAGTGGCATTCAATCACTGCTCCTTGAATCTCAAAAATCTAGTGAACATGCTTTGGCGAGTGTGGATCTGGTGAATGAAAAGAGAATTGGAAGGATTCACAAGGCATTAGATTCTAATGATGTTGAATTGGTGAAGTTACTTCTTCAGGAATCTAGTATCACATTAGATGCTGCTTATGCTCTTCATTATGCTGCTGCCTATTGTAATCCTAAGGTTGTGAATGAAGTGCTCAACTTAGGTAATGCTGATGTCAACCTTAGGAATTCTCGAGGGTACACTGTGCTTCATGTAGCAGCCCGGCGTAAGGATCCATCAGTAATAGTGGGGCTGCTGAACCAGGGCGCGTCCATATCTGATACTACAATGAATGGACAGACGGCTGTTAAAATATGCCGGAGGTTAACGAGGCCAAAGGATTATAATGAAGAAACGAAACAGGGCCATGAAATTAATAAGGATCGTTTATGTATTGATGTACTTGAGAGAGAGATGCTTCGGAATCCATTGTCTGGGAACGAATCTATGTCAACAATGATGGTGCCTGATAATCTTCACATGAGTCTGTTGCTTTTTGAAAATAGAGGTAAGAGTCAATGATAGAATGCATTTCCCGTAAAGTTGAAAAACCTTTTGCAAAAATGGATATGTTGTGCTGTGTTTATTAGTGCTTTTTTAATGTTTTTATAATTTTTTTAAGGGTTGATAGGATAAGATAAAATCACTCTAGAGTATCTGTTGGGAGTGTGTCAAGGCAATCAATAAATGAAAGAAGATAAACTGATAAGATAAATGTGGGTCTTGCAAGGATCATATTTTGCTAGAAGGATAGTATGAAGCTTCTCTTTTAATGGCCTTCACATTCCTTAATACCTAGTATAAAAATGGAAATGATTTAAGGAATACTGTTATATTTGTGATGAAGACTTGCATATTCTCTTCCATAAGATGTTAGAATTTGCTCTTCTGAACCTATGCATGTATATGCTATGTGCTCATTTTGAGAATCCAATTTCTTGTAATTCTCTCTGTCATTTGCATTGTCTATTAGACTATTACTATTAGTACTATATCGATACTATAAATATTTGATTAAGCCTATGTTTGGTCCCTATTTTTTCAAAAAATCATTTTTTTTTAAACTGATTTTCAACCACACTTTCTTCCATAAAATAATTTTATGCGCAAACAAAAAATTTTCCTTATTTTTTAACCACCCATTCTCGAACAAAATGCTATTCCAAAATGCATTTTGGTCGAAAAAGGGGCTCAAACAAGCACTAAGTTTTTAAACCTCAAATTTATTTTTGAATAAATTAGGTAAAATGTGACCAGGAGGATTGACGAAGATGAATAGTAGGATCTCTTGGTGACAGATATATAACACAATGTTTAAAACTTTGGAAGTCAATTTAAAATACATCCATTCTGTTTATATTAAACTTTATTGTCAACTGATTCCTGCAACGACTATCACTAATCAACTCAAAACATGCTATTTACAGCTGATAGATATGTTATATCCACGTCTTTATCTTTTGGTGGATAAGGTTCCGTATTTCTTTTGTATTTTAATTATGTACATATACTACTATAACCCTTGTTAGAAACTCACATGAGGATTTCCATGTGCTTTATTTAGCCTGATCTAATTCAACCGTGATGCTAGTCATGTATAACTTTATTATTGTGTTTGACACGTCCGTATCCATTGTTTTGGCCAGCGTTCTAAAGAATGTGCCTAGGCGTGAGGCACAGACAAAGCGCTTTGCTTTGACAGTAAGTGCAAATTAAGCGGTCAACTGCTAAGTTAATCGTTTAACGCGTCCCTATTAATTTATTTAATTTTTAATTTTTCCCCTTTTTAAAAAACCTTTTATTTGACTTTAATTTCAAGTTTTTAAATGATTTTATGTGAACATAAATAAAAAATGACTTTATCTGATAAAGATTTAGATAAAATTTAAGCTACAGTACTGTCTATATTATGTAATTATGATTTTGAGACTTGTCGTATCGTTGGAAACTTCGAAAGTATGTATGAAGTTTCTATAAATCTGTTAAGTAGGATTTGTCTAGTTGAAAATTGAAGTTATGCAAAATAGTCTAGTTTTTGCATTTTGAAAACTTGAAAATTGTATAATTGATTAATTGTAGGAATTATTAAGTAAATATAGAATTTATTAAATTTAGATGTTTGGTATGTATTATTTTAATTATTAAAACTTTTTAGAATGACTAAGAATTTATAATAAAAAAAATAAGTAACACTTTTTTACAGGCCTAGGCGCAGCGTGAAATCTGGCCTCCACATCCAGTCACGTTTTACGTTTTTTTGGAACACTGGTTAAAGTATAGTTTGTATGTACTTGTACGGTAATCAACATAATGCACTATTTGCACTGTATTCCTTTTGCCGGTTGAAAAATCATTTGTTGCTAAATTGAGAAAGAAGCATGCCCCATATTCAGGGATAAATGCTCCATGTTGATTAATAAACTCCTGGAACCTATTAAAATTTGGTTTCACTTTACAGGGATGGTTCCTACATTTCGATTAATGTTGTAATCAACATTATCATAGTTCAGATCTGCCTTTATTTTCACCTAATGATGCGTTTACATTAAGTTTGAGTTTTATAAATCCTGTTTTTATCCGGCAGTGGCGATGGCACGAGCCCTCTTTCCTCTAGAAGCCAGATTAGCCATGCAGTTAGCACGTGCAGATTCTACCTCAGAGTTCGCTGGCCTTTCAGCATCTAAAGGAACATATGGGAATTTGGAAGAGGTGGATTTAAAAGAAATGTCACCTGAGCAAGTCAAAAGGTTCCAGTTGAGGCTGCAATCGCTACAAAAAACTGGTAAGTTCAAACTAAGCTTTACACAACCTTCCGTGATCTAATCACTTGCTGTTGAGTGCATGAATTGATTATTCAGTCTTTTTGGCTGCTTATCACAATTAGAAAATATAAGTAGAAAACTGTAACATCAAATCTGGGTTCATGAGGCAAATGGAAAACTTGATAGATTTTCAAAT